TAGCACGTAGCTTGATTTCCCCATTTATAAAATGGGAACAGTGAAAGGAATTAATTCAATGTTATTTTAAAGATTAAGTAACAGAATCTTTACCATATGTAGTGAGAGCAATCTAGCAGAGAAATTTTGCCACACTTGGGATCTGAGTGGTCTCTGAGAGGTTGACCTTGGGGCCAGGTCAACAAGGCAGCAGGCTGGTGAACAAATCTAAGCCCGGCATCCTGTCAGATGCCAGTCTCTAGGAGATAATGCTAGTTCCAAAGTAAACGTGCAGGGTTCCCTTTAGGTAGCTTTCGGTTTAAATAGTCAGCAAGTCAGGCACCATTGGCTCACGCCCGAAATCCTAGCTACTCAGGAGGCTGAGGATCTGAGGATCTCAGCCAGCCCGGGCAGGAAAGTCTGTGCCATTCTAGTTAACCACCAGAAAACCGAAAGTGGTGCTGTGGCTCTAGTGCTGGTGTGCTTGCCTTGAGCTGAAGAGCTCAGGGACAGCACCCAGGCCCAGAGTTCAAGTCCTGTGACCAACCAAAAATAAATAATAAATAAATAAAAAGTCAGCAATCTTAGAATCTTTCTAGAACAAGACACTATAGAAAATACTTGTATCAGGTTTAGTTCCTTTGGTAAGCTGGAGATACTGCAATGTGGCTTATGCCCTCTTTTTAGCTGAGTAAGAAAAATGAATGATTTTCAACTGGAAGGTAGCACTAGGATTTCCCTATATTCTTTCCTCTCTAGCAAACTAGAACTTTATGCCAATGCTTCCCTGGGGGAGAGGGAGCACTATGGTAAATTCCCTCTTCTTTCCCCATTTCAAGCAACAGAATCCTGACATTTTCTTCTTTCCTGGGGGACATTGGCCCTGGAGTCTAGCCATCTTCTGTCTGGAGGGCAACCTGTGAAGGACCTCATTTGTGGTCTGAATTGGAAGAATGGAGCCAGTTGATTCCTAGGACTTATTTTTCAACTGTCTTCTATTTTCTCTCAGGTTGAAAGATTGTTAATCTGTTGTCCCTCCCAGCATGAAGCATACTTGGAAATACTAAGCTTCTTTTGTGAATTGGAATTGTAATGCTTAGGATGTGTTGAGCATTCCAAGTGTGCACAAGCACTCTTACTGAGTGGGCTCTCTTTCAGTGTCCCAGCAGATCTACAAGGTAATGTCCATTTTTACAGAGACCTAAATTTCAAGGGGTTCTGCAAGGGACAGAATATGTAGGGACTACAACCCAAGCCCATGGTGAAGTGTGTCATTGTGGCCCTTCTGGCTTTCCTACAGAATGTTGGAAGAAAGGGGTGTGACACACTTGAAAGGCTCTGAGAGATGGCCTTGGGATGGTTAAGGCTGTGTAGTCAGCTTCCTTACATGGGCAACATTATCCTGTTCCCACTGTCCGAATCATCACTCTTCCCTGCCATGCCTCAGTACCCACTTTCTGTCCTTTTTTTCCCCTTTCTTACCCCAGCAGCAGGGGTGGATTAGCTCCTGTTCCTTGCTACAAAAAAGTAACCTAAGAGAAAATAATCTTCCCATGTAGGTATAGCTTCAGGAAAAAGCCTCCACCTCCTCCAAACTCAAGCCACTTCACATAGAAATTCTCATATGCTACACTTTTTTTTTTAATGGGTTGGGGTACCACTGAGTGGGGGGCCCTATCCCTGAGCATTTATGCTAAGGCATAACTCCAGCTCCAGCTTTTTTGCTAGTTAGTTGGAGATGAGTCTCACAGACTTTCCTGCCTGGGTTGTCTTCAAACTGCCATCCTCAGATTTCAGCCTCCAGAGTAGTGAGGATTACAGGCATGAGCCACCAGTGCCCGCTGATAAGCCTCACTCTTAGCAAATGCATGTGTATGTTTGGGAAGTCCTTTGGCCCCCTAGAGCTAAAGTCAGTACTGGCTCTTAGCTAACAATTGTCCTGTAGACAGAAAGCACTTTTCTTCCTATTCCAGATACCTTTTAGCCCCTGATACGCTTTAGCTGAGGTATCCTACCCTTGTAGGACCTGTATCTGCCATCCTTCCTCTGGAATCCTGGGCCCTGCCTTGGCCTGATTCCATATTTTGTCACTAATTGGAAAAAGCAAGACAGTGCCCTAAAATTATAAAGGATTTCGACCCATTCCAACCTCCAACAGGTGCATGGGAACTACTCAGCCCTGTGGAATTCATACTGATGAACTGGTAGGAGCATTGGGAAGGGATTGGAGGCTTCTGGCTCCTATCCTGCTCTTAGAGCCAGTCCCAAGGAAGACCCTTCCTCATTTGCAGCTTCATTTTCCTCTCTATGAAACAGTATTTATGTTTATTGCTCTAACATTCTAAGCTGTTTGAGGTGAGGGAGGCAAGCGGACAGTGTTTCCTGAGCTGGATTGGATTGGTGCTGGCAGATACAGGTTTCAGAATACAGAGGTGGGAGGAAGGAACTTACCTCTAATTTGGTTGGATGTTCAACATAGAGATTGGTCCTACACAGAAATTGGCTTTCATTAAAAGTTTCAGATGCCGGGGCTGGGAAGGTGGCTCAGTGGTAGAGCGCTTGCCTTGCATGCATGAGGCCCTGGGTTCGATTCCTCAGCACCACATAAGCAAAAAAAAAAAAAAAACTGGAAGTGGCGCTGTGGCTCAAGTGGTAGAGCGCTAGCCTTGAGCTGAAGAGCTAAGGGACAGCGTCCAGGCCCAGAGTTCAGGCCCTACGACTGGACCAAAAAAAAAAAGTTTCAGATGCCAAACCCAGATGGACCTGTATTCCTTTTTACCCCCCCAGTGTGGCACATGCATGTGCACACATGCATACACACACATGCACATGGTAGGGGGCTAAGAAGGAGCACAGAGTGATGTGTGATTAAGTCAGAAGCCTTATCTTTTTTGTAGCTCCTGCAGTGCTGATAGCAGTTCATCACAGCCTTCCTGAGTTCTCCAGAGGCTCCCTATGTTTATTTGTGTTTTGTGCTAATGCTGGGGATAGAACTCAGGGCCTGGGCACTGTCCTTGAGCTTTCTTGCTCAAGGCTAGCACTCTACCACTTGACCCACAGCTCCACTTCTGGCTTTTTTGCTAGTTAATTGGATGTAAGAATTTCACAGATTTCCTGCTGATCTGCCTTTGAACCATGATCCGCAGATTTCAGCCTCCTGAATAACTAAGATTTCAGGCATGACCACGAGCGCCTGGCCTCCTTAGGGGTTTTAATAGATTTTTCTGCCACTCAAAGGACTTTGTTCACCTTGCCTGGAGCATCCTGAGATTCTAGAAGTAGAGCAAGAATAGAGCAGCCCCATGGGTTCTTGGCACATGGGGACCTTAGGGTATGGGCTTTAAGAAAATCTTCTTTTGGACTAATTAAAGAATATATACAGACTAGCCACATTGCCCTGCTTAGGACTAATGCTGGAATTAGGGAATGGGGACTAACTATATGGCAGGCAGGCTTCCTTGCACTGATCAGAGATTGACTACTTCACCATTTCCATTTTCATGTCTGAAGAACAAAATGTTAGATGGAGTGATCACAATATCTGTCCCTTCTCAGTTTTGAAAGGTTTTAATTTTGTTGTGTGTGCCTTTGTGCTGGTAGTGTTGTCCCTTAGCTTTTTTGCTAGTTTATTGGAGAGAAGAATGTCACTCCTGCCTGGGCTGGCTTCAATCACATAATTCTCAGAGCTCAGCCTCCCGAGTAGCTAGGATTCCTGACACCTGGCCTGGAAAATTTCAGTTAAAAAGAAATAAAAAAGGCCAATGATTTGAAAAGCTTTGTGTCCAACTTTGTGCTAGTAAATTTAATTTTTCAGACCCGCTTGGTAAAACATTTGCTTTTTTTTTTCTTTTCTCCTAAGCTAAAAGCCTGGCCAGGTGCTGGTGGCTACTTAGGAGGCTGAGATCTGAGGATTGCAGTTCAAAGCCAGCCAGGGCAGAAAAATCCATGAGACTTATTTCCAATAAACGACTCAGAAAACCAGAAGTGGCACTGTGGCTCAAATGGTACAGTGCTAGCCTTGGGCTGAAGAGCTGAGGGACAGTGCCCAGGCCCAGAGTTCAAGCCCCACAACCAACAACAACAAAAAGCCTGTATTGCCAAGTGCCAATGGATCATGCCTATAGTCCTCCCTGCTCAGGAGGCTGAGATCTACGTATCTCAATTTGAAACCAGCCCAAGCAGGAAAGTCAGTGAAACTCTTTTTTTTGTTTGTTTTTTATTGGTGATGGGGCTTGAACTCAGCTTGGGTGCCATCCCTAAGCCCTTTTGCTCAAGGCTAGTGCTCTACCACTTTGAGCCACAGCTCTACTTAAGGTTTTTGGATGGTTAATTGGAGATAAGCACCTCAGAGAGACTTTCTGCCCTGGTTGGCTTTGAATGGTGATCCTCAGATCTCTGTCTCTTGAGTAGCTAGCATTACAGGTGTGAACCAACCAACCAGCCTGGTGCTCAGTGAAACTCTTATCTCCAATAAACCAGCAAAAAGCTGGAATGGAGGTGTGGCTCAGGTGGTAGTGCACCAATCTTGAGTGGGAAAGCTAAGGGGCAGCACCCAGGCCCTAAGTTAGAGTCCCAGTACTGGCACCAAAAAGAAAACCTATAATTGTAAAAATAAAATAAATTTAAACTTCTGTAAATATACTTTGTTCCTGATACTTACATCCTTCCAGGGTTTGTACTATGAATGTGTGTGTGCTTATTTTATAGAAATGGATTCTTTTGTCACTATTCTTTTATGTCTTTTTATATCAGCAGAGATCTTTACTAAAAAGATAATGGATAAATCTAAGTTTAACCAGTTTATTATTGTTGAATATACCTACTTTTCAGTTTTTTAAGTAATGAATAGCACTTAGATATCTTTGTATATATCTCTTGTCTCATTTATATTGTTAAAATGAATATTAAAAGGTAAAGCTTTTGAGTCAAATGGGAGTCTATCCACTTCTTTGCAAAGAGAAAGGCTCTCTATTCCATTTGACCATAGGTTGTTGGAAACTCAGCTTAGCCTTCTGTGGTCCATGGACTTCATTGCCTACCAGAGAGTATGGACTTATAACTCCATCAGGGTCTCCTTGGAGTGTGGGGTCTTAGAGGGGTGGTGGTGGTTGTTGTTGTTTTGGGTCTGTCATGGGGCTTGACCTCTGGTGGGCCTGGGCGCTGTCCCTGAGCTCTTCAGCTAAAGGCTAGCACTTTACCACTTGAGCTACAGTGCTACTTCAGTTTACTGGTAGTTAATTGGAGATAAGAGTCTTAGGGACTTTCCTGCCTGGGCTGGCTTTGAACCGTGATCCTCAGATCTCAGCCTCCTGAGTAGCTAGGATTATATCCTAGCCATCAGCGCCCCC